CCCCCCCCCCGCCGCTCCCGCCGCTGCTGCTGCTGCTGCTGCTGCTGCTGCTGCTGCTGCGGGGGGGCTCCGAGCGGCGGCCGACGCAGTAGTAGTGGCCGGAGTTGGCTGTGGGGCCCGCATGCAGCACAGCAGCAAACAGCTCGTAGCGGAAGCCGCACAGCAGCAAATGAGTCTCCGCGTGGATGTGCTGCGCAGTTTTGTGTCTCCTTTTTGCTGCTGCGTCCCAACTGTAGCGATTTAAAGAGACAATTAAATGCGCTGGAGGAGACTTTATTTCCGTCCACTTTGCTGCTTCTTGTTTGCTGCTGCAGCGCTCGCAGGCGTACTTGTTCTCCCCCCGCAGCAGCTCCTTCGCCACCAGCAGGTCAAACAGCCCCTGCACCGACAGCCTGCTGCTGCTGCTGCTGCTGCTGCTGCTGCTGCTGCTGCTGCGGCGGCGGCGGCGCGCGCGCGGAGAAGCTGCTGCTGCTGCTGCTGCTGCTGGCGGGACTGGGAAGGAGAAGCTGCTGACTGTCTCCGCGCGGCTGCTGCGGGTCCTGCAGCAGCAGCACTCCACTGTCTGCAGCACAACGCCGGCAAACAGCAGCCGCAGCAGCTGCTGCTGCAGTCCCCCCAGGCCCTCGAAGAGACAGTGCAGCGCCTCGCTCGCGTCTTGCTGCTGCTGCTGCTGGTAAGCAGCAGGAAGGGCCCCCACCACTCCCGAGGGGTCTGCGCTGCTGCTGCGGGACACGGCCATTTCCGTGAACAGGCACTGCAGCGCCCGCAGCAGCTGCGGGTTCCCGCTGCTGCTGCTGCTGCTGCTGCTGCTGCTGCTGCTGCTGCTGCGCGATGGCAGGCTGAAGCGAAACAAGTTCGCCACGAAGCAGTCGCACAGGTACAACGCCTGCAGCAAACTGTTCAGGTAGCAGCTGTTGCCCACGTTCGTCAGCCCCAGCGGCAGCCGCTGCTGCTGCTGCTGCTGCTGCTGCTGCTGCAGCAGCCGCCGCGGCAGGTGCAGCTGCACCTCCACGCACGCTGCGGGGTCTAAGCTGCTCTCCAGCTGCAGCGAGAACTGCTGCTGCTGCTGCTGCTGCTGCTGCGGGGCAGGCGCCGGCGGCGCCTGCAGCAGCTCCAGCTGCTGCTGCTGCTGCAGCAGCAGCTGCTGCTGCTGCAGCAGCAACTGCTGCTGCTGCTGCAGCAACTGCTGCTGCTGCTGCTCGCCCAACGGGTAGTCCACAGAGACCCACGGCACCCCAAGCGACGCTGCTGCGTGCTGCTGCTGCTGCTGCTGCTGCTGCTGCTGCAGGTACGGCAGCAGCTGCAGCTGCTGCGGCGGCGCCGCGAAGGCTCCTGGGTCCGGCACAGCAGCAGCAGGCCCTGCTGCAGCAGGACCTGCTGCAGCAGGACCTGCTGCAGCAGCAGCAGCAGACCAAATGCTAGACACAGACACGCAGCTCAGGGCAGCAGAAGAGGACGCGCTGCTGCTGCAGTACGAGTTGCTGCAGCTCGAGGAAGCGTACGGGCCCCACCCAACTGGGAGCTGCTGCTGCTGCTGCTCCTGCTGCTTCTGCAACTGCTGCAGCTGCTGCTGCTGCACCGCAAACTGCATCTGCTGCGGAGAGAACTGGGACCAGTTCTGCTGCTGCAGGGGACCTGCTGCTGCTGCTGCTGCTGCTGGTCCCGCTGATGCTGCTGCTGGCCCTGCTGCCGCTCCAAAGACAAGGTTCCCCTGGCTGCTGCTGCTGCTGCTGCTGCTGCTGCTGTCACCCCACACACTGCTGCTCGCTGGATACGCAGCAACGCTCAGCGCCTGCGGAGGCTCCCTTGTCTTGTCTGTAGAAGCCCAAGGAACCTGCTGCTGCTGCTGCTGCTGCTGCTGCTGCTGCTGCGGCTGCTGCGGCTGCTGTGCTGCAGCGCCTGGTGCAGCTGAGGAGTCTAGCGGCGGCCCACTTTTCTCTTCAGCTGCTGCTGCTGCTGCTGCTGCTGCTGCTGCTGGTCTCCTAGGATTTGCCTCTGCGGGTTTTCTAGACAACAGGTACCCAGCAGTCTTCGTCTCCGGCGAAGTCTTGGCTGCTGCTGCGCTTGCTGCTGCTGTTGCTGCTGCTGCTGTTGCTGCTGCTGCTGCTGTTGCTGCTGCTGCGCTGCCCGCCTCCTTCTCAAGCGTCTCCCTTTCAAGCTTCCTGTGCAGTTGCCGCTGCTGTTTCTCCCGCACCTGCTGCTGCTGCTGCTGTTGCTGCTGCTGCTGCTTGCGCGCCCGTTGCAGGTCTGCTGCTGCTGCTGCTGCTGCTGCTGCTGCTGCTGCTGCTGCTGCTTGTCTCTGGCTCTCAACCTTTTTCTTTCTCTTCTCCAAAAGAGACAAAATCCGGTGATGCAAAAAGGGACAAAAGTCCTCTTGTCTCCAAACCTTTTCCAGTCTCTCTTGTGCAGAGTCGGGGGCCCCCCTGCGGGGGCCCCCCAGGGGGCCCCCAGGGGGCCCCCCAAGGGGGGCCCCCAGAGACCAGGCCAGGGGGCCCCCCTG